GAGAGTCTGCATTGAACCACAGAACAGACTAGAACTTAAACTTTTTTATTTGAAAGAAAGAAAAATAGTAACAATGACACAGAATTTCAAAACAAGATGGTAGGAAATTAACAATGGTTAATATATTGCATATTGTTGTCTCAAAAGTAGTTGCTCAGATTATAAGATATAGGTATCCAAAATTGATCAGACAATGCAAGCACAAACTGCTCCTATAATGAACTAATAGAAATTAATGGTATGATTATCTCAGCTATCTTGTATATATATTCCCTTCCTTCTTTCCTCCTTTCTTCTATCCTGTTGTTTTTTTTTTTTTTTCCTGATTGAGCAGTTTCTTTCCCTTTCAAAATATCTATTGTCCATTTTGCATCTTGTTTACTCTTTCAGTTTCTTACACTAGGGAGAAAACACAATGTTTACACATGCGGGTCGACATTTCACTTAGAAGTATGGTCTGTAGTTGCATCCATTTACCTATGAAAACCTTGAGTTTGTCCTTCTTTATAGCTGAGTAATATTCCATTGTCTAAAAATTCTGCATCTTTTTTATCCATTCCTCAGTTGATGAGCATTTGAGTTGTTTCCAAGATTTAGCTATGACAGATCGTGCTGCTATAAACATGGGTGCACAAATATCACTGTGGTATGATGTTTTTAATTCTTCTGGGAAAGTACCCAGAAGGGGAATAGCTAGGTAGAATGGGACCTCTCATCTTACTTTTCTGAGGAATCTTCACACCTTCCACAGTGGTTGTACCAGTCTACACTCCCACCAACAGCGGAGAAGGGTTTCTTTTTCCACACAGCCCCACCAGTATTCGTTATTGGTTGATTTCTTGAACATAGCCATTCTCTCTGGGGTGAGATGGAATCTCTGTGTTATTTTAATTTGCATTTCTCAAATAACCAATGATATTGAACAATTTTTATATATTTATTTGACATTTGTATTTCTTCATCTGAGAATGTGTATTCATCTCAGATGCCCATTATTGGGTGGGGTCTTTGAATTTAGGAGCTCTAATTTTTTTCAATTCTTTATATGTTCTAAGTAGAAGTCCTTTGTGTGGGGGACAGCTGACTAAAATTTTTTTTACCACACTGTGGGTTTTTTTCACTCTGTTCCTGATTTCTTTAGATATGTAAAAATTTTTAACAAGATGAGATCCCAGTTGTTGATTCTTTGAAGTATTTCCCATACAGTTTGGTTTTTGTTCATGAACTCTCTGCCTACCCTTATGTCTTCAAGATTTCTACCTCCTTTCTCTTTCAGTATATTTACTGTTTCTGCTTTCGTATTTAGATGTTTGACACATTCCAACTTCAGTTTAGGTCATGGTGATAGACATAGGTCTAGTTTTAGTCTTTTGCATGTGAAAAGCCAGTTTTTCCAGCACCATTTATTAGAAAGGCTATCTTTCTTCCAGTGAATTTGTTTGGTCCTTTTGTCAAACATGAGGTGGCTGAGTTTGTTTGCAGTTGTGTCTGCATAATTTAATTTGTTCCATTGATCCTGAGGTCTGTTTTATGCCAGTACTGTGCAGGTTTTATCTCAGTAGCTTTTTAGTATAACTTCAAGTCAGGGATTGTGATGCCTCCTGCCTTGACTTTGTTGCCCAAGGATTTCCTTTGCTATTCTAGGTCTCTTCTGTTTCCAAATTAATTTTAGGAATGATTTTTCTAGATCTGTGAGGTATGCTGAAGGTATTTTGATTGAGATTGCATTAAATCTGTATAGTAGTTTTGGGAGTATAGCCATTTTCACAATGTTCGTTCTTTTGTATTCATGAGCAAGGGGTATCTTTCCATTTTCTGACATTATCTTTAATCTCCTTTTTCAAAGTTCTATAATTTTCAATGTATAGTTCTTTTACTTCCTTTGTTAGATTGATTCCTAAGTACTTCATTTTTGGGGTGCTATTGTGAGGGGTGTGGTTTCCCTAATTCTACTGTCAGTGAGTTTATTGTTTGTGTGCAGGAATGCTATCGATTTCTGAGTACTGACTTTTTTTCCAGCTGTGCTACTGAATTTGCTTATTAATTCTAGAAGTCTTTCAGTGGAGCTTTTTCTTTCTCCATCTGTTAATGTAGATGGAATCATTAATGGATTGCCAATGTTGAGTCCTTGTAGTAACTACTCATGTACATTATGGTACACATGTTATTATTTCTAAGTGTACTATTTTTGGAATTGCTATCTATCTATATTTCAAAGTTTGATTGACCTGTAATTTTCCCTTTTTATTGTCCTTTGCATGTTTTGTTATCACTTTACATCTTTTCTTATAAAATAAGTTGTTGAATGTCCCTTCTTTCATTTTTTGGGAGGGTTTCACGAGATTAAAATTATTTGTCCTTGGGTATTTAAAAGAACTAAACAGACATTGTGTCTGAAGTTTTATTTATCATAAAATTTATTTTTATTTACTGATGATAGTTCCTTGATAATCACAGTCAACTCTTTCTCAAGTACTTTTGAAGGCTATATTTTTCACTTTAATATTCTCTTGCTTTTTGGCTAAATTTTCAAGTGCAGTGGTTTAACTGTGCTTGTAACATCCTTGCATTACAATTTGATCGCCAAATCACCTGTTGTCTTGCTTCCTTTTCATGTCTGACCTTAGTTATTTTTGCTTTTTTCCTGGATTGGTCTCATCAGAGAAAAATCTTTTCAGAGAATTAATCTGAAACTTGGTTGCTTCTACTTTCTGTTGTTAAGTAATGCCTACTCTCAGTTTCACAATTTCCTTTCTTCTGGGTTTTGGAGAATGTGTTATTACACCACCATCTTCCACATCCACACAATGATCCTTCACTTAGTATACTCTCCTTCTCTTTCCTTTCCTAATATAACTCACTGCATGAACTCTCATTGTGTTTCCTTCACTAATATTAACTTTATTTTTTTGAGGATTTTTTAAATTTTAAAGAGAAAAGAATGAAAACATATTTACAAATACACATACATAAACAAAACAACATAAAAATGATGAAAGCAATATGAGATGTCAGACAAGGTGATAGGAAGTTAACAATGGTTGTTGTATTACATATTGAAAGGAACAGTTAATGTTTAATTTTTTGATCAATCCTACACGTCTATATTTGTTTATCTGAGTAACCAATTTGAAGATAACAATATGTAATACATTAACTTTGAGTATATATTTTACAGTGCTAACTCATTTCTACTTTTCCTGCTAAGCAGAATTCATTATCTGACCCACCTTCTTCCAGCAAGAGAATCAAAGCTTGGGAAAACCACAAGTGAACTATTTCAGTTGCAATCATAAATTTGATTAGAAATGGGACAAAATTTGGATAGCACAGACACTTTCATCATCCATTAATATACACATGTATTGGTTGAAAAGTGCTGCATAGTATTTTAAATTCAGCAAAAAGATCATTAGGGACACCTATCAAGTGGAGTAAGTAATGAGTGGATTACAGAGAATAGATTTTGAAATGTTATCTCTTGGTGAATTGGCATTCAGAGTTAGGGTTCTTCGCAAATCATGAGCACTGGCCCAGGAATCTTGTGAGAGACCACAGCTGTAGCTGGCCCTGTTCTGTACCAGGGCACGTTACCTTGTGCCTCACAATAGAAGAACAGTCACCCAACTCACGCAGCTCAGTCTCTCCAATGTGCCTCTGATCACCTAAGCTTCCTAATAGAATAATACCATGGCTGTTCTGTTTGCAGATCCCCACGTCCTGTGCATCTTTCCACCAGAGGTATTGCCATTTCCTAATCCAACACTGAAGCAGAGGTGAAATGAATCTCCTCCAAGGACCCTGTAATGGTACATGGCCAGAGAAGCTGCAGATCTTACTCTTTTTGCTCATTTATAAAAGGCTTTGCCTAAACAAACCACTATTTCTAGTAATAGTTGTTCATGTTTGCTACTGAGTGGGACAGAAGCTTTGCAGAGATTCCTTTCCCAGCCACTATGAAATACTATTATATGGAGTATGAAGCTGACAACTAGAGAGCAACTGGAATAGAGAAAACCTGAAAAAACCTGACAGCGATATCACTTCAGGCTGGTTACAGACCTAGAACCAAGAGAACTGGTTCAAGGACCTACAAGAAGCACTACATGAGTGTGCCCTGCATGTTGAGGGACTTCTCCAAGTCAAACACAACCCGTCCAACAGGAACCAGGAAGAAGGATATACTAGAAGATAACCACACTTTCTTCCTTATATATGGTCTCCAGACCCTCTCGTGTTACTTCTACACAGGGGTCTCTTCTCTATCCCAGGAGATCTGAGCTATAGTCTGAAACATCCAGGTGAGCTTCTCTGACTTTCTGGAATGCAAATTGCCCTGCTGTCCAGATATGGAGGGACGGGGGTAGGACCAGTACTCTTCTTCTGTATGTAGAGATTGGGGCTTAAGGTCCTTGGGTTTGTGGTAATACTGTGCCTTAGCCTGCTCTGTTGTGATAAAAAAATACCTGACAATGAGTAACTGCATGTGCCTGCGGCCAGCTCACTGACTACAGGTAGAAAAACAGACTGGCCAGGCAGAGGTTCTATTAGCAGACACTCAAGGATACCTCAGAAGAAGTAAGCTTCCTCCTGTTTTCCTTAAATCTCCAGACGGATAACCAGATCTTTCAATTATTTGAAAACCAACCACTTACTACAACACACAAAGTCTGGGATACTGCTGAAATTTTGAAGCACCTGCCTAGCCTCTTTGCTTCTCAAAATGAAAACAAAAACATCACCTGCTCCCTTTCCTCACCCATCTCAATTATTGGAAAGGTGTTATTTAATCAGACAGAGCAGCCATCAGAATGCTTACCCAGCATGTCCCTGCTTGCCTGGGTTTCCAAAGAGGATATCACCATGACCATGCTGTCTGCAGATCTCCTGGCCTTTGCATTCTATGAAAGAGACATTGTCCTCAGAATAGGTACAGAAACTTTTTCACCTTCTTTCATTATACTGAATCTTTGCTTTCCTCTGCAGCCTTTGATAGAACCATGGCGACAACTCCCTCTGATGCGTTCCAGGCCCTCATGAAGGGAGTAACAAACTGGGATCTTCCTGAAAGCTTCATCCCCAGTGAACTCCTTCTTATTGGGAAGGCCTCCTTCCCCGTGATGGTGAATGACAAGGGCCAGGTGCTCATTGCTGCCTCCTCCTATGGCCAGGGCCGCCTTGTCGTCGTATCCCATGAACGCTACTTGCTGCATGCTGGCTTGGCTCCATTTCTTGTCAATGCAGTGGGCTGGCTCCGTCTCTCCCCTGAGGCTCCCATTGGGGTGCACCCATCCCTGGAACCCCTAGTGAACATCCTGAAGGATGCCGGGGTGGAGGCACAGACTGTGCCAGAACCTGGAGAGCCCCGGGGTGCTTACTGTATGGATGCCTACAATGACAGCTTGACTGCAAAGCTCATTCAGTTTGTGAAACATGGTGGGGGCTTGCTCATTGGGGGCCAGGCCTGGTATTGGGCCAGCAAGCATGGCTGTGACAAGGTGCTGTCCAGTTTCCCTGGGAATCTGGTGACAAGTGTTGCTGGAGTGTACTTCACTGATGTCTGTGGGTGTATAGCCCACTTTGAGGTCTCTACAAAGGTGCCCAACATCCCATTCCATGTCAGGTGAGTGGTGCCTTTCTTAAGAGAATGCTGGTTCATGTTAAAAGACAACCTTCTGTACAGGGCGAGAGAAATTAGTCACTATAGAAGGGAATGATTTCAAATTGTTAATGTAATTATAGCCCATGGTAGTGAAGGAGCAATATTATCTGTTTGTTCTCTACCATGCATGATGAGTGGCTTGAAGACAAGGCATTTTGCCGGTTTGGGCTTGCTTTTGTTTTATTTAGCATTGGCCTTCTTGATTACAAATCCTTAGAGAAAGGTATCAATAAGTGTAAAAAATGTGTACAATATTAGAGTTAAGAACTGTATCTTTCTTTTAGGACATATCACTCTTCTACCATGTAATATGGTACAGAATGTGCTAGATAAACACTGCATTTGTGAATGAATAGAAAATGAGGGTTCTTGTATTGCAGGAATAGCATGGAAAGTGCAGCTTGAGTAAGTCCCATGGCCTTGCATTGAGAAGCCTAGCTCTGTAGAAGAGGATTGGGACCACAGGAGGAGGGCTGTGTCTGAGAGAAAGTGGAGCAGCACCATGGAGATAGAGCCAGAGGAAGCCCTGAAGCATTTCCTTCTGTAGTGGAGTAGGATTCTCTGTAAGGATTGTTTTTATAATCAGATAGTTATGAAGGAGTTTTATAATCAGATAGTTATGAAGGAGTGTTTTTATAATCTTATGAGTTGATCAGTGTACTATAACTCTTGCATGATTTGAATCCCAAGAAATAGTTGAGTCAAAGCTCTTCCTCATTTAATGTTTGCCTGAATATGTCTTGTGGTTTGGCACAGGTAAAATTTTTCTGTGGAGTGATTATAACATAATTTAATCATGAAAATTTAGATTAGAGCTAATTTCCTGTTACTTAGAGTTTCAAATGGGATATTCATATGCCATTGCATACAAAATAGTTTTTCAGCATAGTCTTAGGATGTGAATAGCTAGTTCAGAAATATTTGTTTTGGTAATGTTGATGGATACTGTTAAATTACCATTTTAAGAGCTTATACTGATTTATACTTTTAACAAAGTATAGCCCAGACTATCTCTGTTAAGGGATGAAGTGTTTTCCAGTGCAAAATGTGAAGATCTTATATCTGTTTCTATTATTACAAATGAACAGGATATTTTTATATATTTGTAGAAATTCCTGTTTCTTTATTAAAATGTAGCTTTTTCTGATTTTTTTTATTTTAAAGATAAAAGAATGAAAACAATAACAGACACACAGACATTTACAGAATATCACAAAACAATACAAGCAATACAGAATTTCAGACAAGGTGATAGGAAATTAACAATGGTTGTTGTACTACATATTAATATCTTCAAATTGGTCATTCAGATAAACAAACATAGGCATGTAAGACTGATCAAACAATTAAACATTAACTGCTCCTTTCAATAAAGTAATAGAAGTCAGAAGTACAACTATCATAGCTATCCTGTGTATACATATATATTTTTTTTCCCTTCTTTCTTTCTTTTCTCTTTTCCCTCATCCCACTTGCTCTTTCCTTTTGAGCAGATTCTTTCCTTTTTGCAATATCTATTACACTTTTTAGATTTTATTCATTCTTTCAGGTTCTTACACTAGTGAGACAATACAGTGTTTACATATGTGGGTCTCATTTATTTTCACTTATGAGTATGGTCTCTAGTTGTGTCCACTTTTCCTATGAAAGCCTCGAGTTTATCTTTCTTTATAGTTTAGTAATATTCCATTATATAAAAATACTAGAACTTTTTTATCCATTCCTCAGCTGATGGGCATTTGGGTTGCTTCCACTATTTAGCTATTACAAATTGTGCTTCTATAAACATGGGTGCACATGCGTGATATGATGTTTTCAGTTCTTCTGGGAAAATACCCAAAAGCAAAATAGCTGAGTTGACTGGGACCTCTAATCCTAGTTTACTGGGGAATTGCCACACTGATTTCCACAGTGGTTGTAAAAATTTACACTCCCACCTACAGTGGAAAAGGGTTCCTTTTCCCCCACAGTCCTCTAGTATTTGTTACTGATTGATTTCTTGATGATAACCATTCTTTCTCTGATAAGATGGAATCTCAGGGTTATTTTAATTTGCATTTCTCAAATGACTAATGATGTTGAACATTTTTCCATGTATTTATTTGCTATTTGTATTTCTTTATCTGAGAAGTATGAATTCATCTCAGATGCCCATTTTTTTGTACTGGGTCTTTGAATTTGGGGGGGCTGATTTTTTAAATTCTTTATATGTTCTAGATAGAAGTCCTTTTTCCAAGGGATAGTCAGCTAAAATTTATTTCCCAGTCTGTGGGTCTTCTTTTTACTCTGCTGGTGATTTCTTTAGATGTGCAGAAACTTTTCGATAAGCTAAGATCCCAGTTGTTGATATTTTTGAAGTACTTCCCATGCAGTTTGGTTTTTGTTCATGAACTCTCTGCCTACCCCTATATCTTCAAGATTTCTACCTCCTTTGTATTCCAGTAGATTTAGTGTTTCTGCTTTAATATTTAGATGTTTGATCCATTTTGACTTGAGTTTAGTGCATGGTGATAGACATGGGTCTAATTTCAGTCTTTGGCATGTAGAAAGCCAGTTTTTCCAGCACCGTTTATTAAAGAGGCTATCTTTCTTCTAGTGAACTTGTTTGGCCCCTTTGTCAAAAACAAGGTGGCTGAGTGTGTTTGTGGTTGTGGCTGCACCTTCCAGTCTGTTCCATTAATCCTCAGGTCTGTTTTTTGCCAGTACCATGCTGATTTTATTACAGTAGCTTTGTAGTATAGTTTCAAATCAAGGATTGTGATGCCACCTGACTTATCTTTGTTGCCCAGGATTGCTTCTGCTATTCTGGGTCTCTTCTGGTTCCAGATCAATTTTAGGATTATTTTCTCTAGATCTGTGAAGTATGCTAATGGTATTTAAATTGGAATTACATTGAATCTGTACAACAATTTTGGTAGTATGGACATTTTTGCAATGTTGGCTTTTTATATTCTTTATTAATCAGTTTTTCTCTTTGTCTTGTTGGTTACTAGATATTTTTCCCATATTATAGATACCACTTGCCATTTTTCATGTTCCAAATATTCCCAATATTTGTTCTTTACTTCTACTTTTGGTTTATATATATGCTTTATATCTGTTGTAGTCAAATTTGTCAGTCTTTTCCCCTTATAACATACTTTGTTGCTTAGAAAATCTTTTTCCTGCTCCAAATTTGGTAATATATTTCCCAATATTTTCTTCTAGTGTTTTTATGACTATATGTCTTGTATTTATATATATCAATGATAGGAATCATTGTTTTATGTTATATACATATATCAGGTGTTCACCACTGAATACCATTCCATGGCCTGTTAGGTACTGGCAACACAGGTATTGGTGAGGACCAGGAAAGAAAGGGAAACTTCATGTATATTTATAGTGGCTCACTGTTATCACCTGAGCTCTGCCTCTTGTCAGATTAGTTTCTCATAGGACCACAAACCCTACTGTCAGCTGCACAGGGAATTGTGGTTGAGCGCTTCTTATGAGAATCTAATACCTGATAATCTGAGATGGAGCTAAGGTGATGATATTCACGCTGGGAAGCATCTACAAATACAAAGCAACATTAGCAGAGAGGCTTTACTGCACAGAGACCATAATAAATCAGATGCTTACAGAATTATTATATCAAAACCCTACTAGCGGCCTCATCTCCTAGTGCCAAAATGGTTGGGAAAGGTTGCTATAAATTATTTCTAAATGTATGGCCAATTATGACAACATTTATTGAAAAAAAATCTACATTCTACTCCCTGGTTTTAAATATTACTTTTTATATAATAAGCTCTCATACGTATAGAAATATGTTTTTCAAGTCTTTCCTCTGCATCACTGACCTAGTTTTCTCATTCTGGACCAACCATGCTGCTTTTATGCCTCACACTTGGAAGCAACATTTTATGTGGGGAAACAAACTCTTGCCCATGTCACTATATTGCATCTAAACATTTTCATAGTTTCTTATGTGCTGTTAGGTATTGACATTTTTATATGAACCTATATCAGCAGTTCATCAAGTTCCTGTAAAATATGTTGAGATCTTGTGCAGGATTATAGTCAGTTTAGAGGTTCTTTATATCCAACATGGTAAAATTCTGTATTGATTCACTTAACACATGTCTTCATGGTTTCCAGGTTTTCTAGTTTGCTGGTATACAATTATTAATAGTATTATCTCATAATCCTTTTAATCTCTGCAAAGTCAATAGTATATCCCCACTTTCAGGGTTTTTTTGTTGTTTTTGAGGGAGGTTGTTTGTTTGTTGTTGTTGTTTTGAGACAGGATCCTGCTATGTAGTTCATGCTGGGCTTGAACTCACCTTATATCCCAAGCTGGTCTCTAACTCATGGCAATCCTCCTGCTCAGGCTCCCAAGTGCTGGTATTACAGACCTGTGCCACCACGCCTGGATTCACTTTTAGCATTTTTTGTAGAGACGGTCTACTTGTAACAAACTCTGCTTTATCTAGAAAGTTTTAACTTCTCTGTATTTTCAAGGACTGTTTTTCTGGATATGAAAATTCTTAGCCAGATAGAGTAGCACACACCTGCAGTCCTGGCAGAATTGCCATGAATTCAAGGTCAGCGTGGGCTACATAAGCAAGTTCAAGGCCAGTGTACACTACATAATGAGACCCTGTCTCAAAAAAAGAAAGATGATTCACCAGACACATGGTTCACCATACACATCTTCATTTATTCAAATATCTCTTTATATTCTTTTCCAATTTTTCATGATTTCAGTAGAAAATGCTTGTAGAATTCTTGTCAGAATAGTCTTGGCACTTGCATATCTTTATGCTTGTGAATCATAAAATTATAATTTTTATTTTAAAATTATAATACCTGTTTTCTGACTAAGAGGACAATTGTTGAATTCTGTGGCTATCTTCAGTCTAAATGCCCTACGAAGTCCTTTTATTAGTCACAGTAAATGGTTTCAGTTGTTTTGTTTAGCATTCTAGTAGATAGTCTTTCCAGGAAATAGTGGAAATTTTGCTCATTCACTCTTAATGTTTACTTTTTACATTAGCTGAGACATCCATTAACATATGACAAAGAGCAGTAATAAAGGATCCCGTTGGTTTTTTGTTTGTTTGTTTGTCTGTTTTGTTTGATTGAACAGGAATGTTTCAAATGTTTTTTCTTTTTAATGAATGTTCTTTATTCAATTGAGTTTTCTTCCAATTATGACTTAGCTTTTTATTTTGTCATGTTTTTTAAAAATTAGGAAAAACTTCTGATGATTCATCCTGATAGGTATAAGAATGAGAGAATTTATTTCCTCAATTTATAAGTCTTCCATGTCACTTTAAAAAGAATCAGAGCTCTTAACCACCTACACTGTATTGGATATATTTTAGAAGCCTCTGCCCTCCAACAAACCTTTGAAGAGTCAAATGAAAGGAATTGTATACCATTAAACTTAATTTTTAAAATTTTATCTTCTTTTCTCTACATATTATAACTTGATTTCAGCAGTTGGTATAAGCATTATATGTGCTCATTCACAGAAAACCTCAGCCATGAAGGTTTTCTTTAAGGTTTTCTATTTCAAAGACATAATACTGAAAATTTTGTGAAATCTCTATACAAATAGAAAATCGTATAGGAAGAATTGATGTTTTAACTGTAGCTATTCACTGATAGGGAAAAGAGAAGAAAAACTGAAAATATTTTCTCATTGTATGCTGAAAATGAATTAAGAAGTAATTTATGGTGGTCAGAAAAATGTAGGCAAGCAAAAAAAAGTAAACAAATATCCATCATAGTCAATTTTACTCAGTTATTACAAATAACATTCTAATATAAACACATTGTATTAATTCCTTGCTATTTGCTGGAACGCAGTACTTGACACCCAACACCCATGTATTAAAAGAAGAGAGGTTTATTTAGGTTCACAGATTATAGGGGATTCAGTTCAGACTCAGGTGACTCCAAGTCAGGGCAGCCTGGCACAGAGGTAGAGGATATAGTTCATGACATGGCTGCCAAAAGTAAAGCGGGATCAAGGGAGGAGGAGGGAGATATATCCTTCCAGGCTACACCTCCAGCAACCCACCTCTTCCTAATATGCTTTACCTCCCAACACTGCACCCAGCTATAAACCTATCAGTAGATTAATCCAGTGATTTGTATCACGCAGCCATGATCCAGTCCCCCCTCAAAAGCCCTTCATGAACTCACGAGGCTTTGGGGGATATCTAGCTATAAACCAAAATGCCCATCTAAGTAATTTTTCAGTATGTTCAATAACATTAACAGTATCATTTTTTCTGTGTACATTGTTTTTATAAGTTGTGTTTTCCACTCATTTGTTATTGCTTTTTTTTTAACCACAACTGTGCCTATAACATACCAAAGTGTATTCAGTTACTCCATGTTTTTGACAGCCATGTAAACTCAATTCAATGCAGAACATTAAGATATTTTATTTCACTGTTTCAAACATACTGATACTTTTACTTGACTTTATAATAAGAAACAGAGTAAACATTTTTCTCTCTATAGTAATTCCGGAAGGACTTTTTGAAAAATTACAAAAAGGTGGATGGTTAGTGTGTAGCTCAGTCATAGAGCTCTTGCCTTACATGTGAAAGGCCTAGAGTTCAAATCTCCAGAATGGTGAAAATTTTTTTAAATAAATGAAACTACAGAAAGAAAACTTAATAAAAGATAATCTAAAACTCTGACAAGGATAATTTGAGAAGTTCACAGTCCTTTGTTATTTGTGTATGAGTGCAACATGTAGAATATATGATTTATCCATAGAAATGATAGCCTATTTTTCAAGTATGATTGGCTTAATATTTTTAATGATGTAAATGAACAACTTTTAAATTAGAATAGTCAACAAATATTAGTTGAGACAGAACTTCATTTGCAAAAATATTCACTGAGAGCATATATGCACATTTCAAGATATACTGTGACTATAGGGGGCTGGGGATTTAGCTCAGCTGCAAAGCGCCTGCCTGGCAAGCGCAAGGTCGTGAGTTCGGTTCCCGGTACCGGAGAAAAACCAGAAAAAAAAAAAAATACTGTGACTATAAATTAAAAAAGCTACACTTTTGTAATATTGAATACTCCCAGTTAAAATGGATTTTAAAAAATAGCATTGTCTTTTGTTTCCTCTTGAAGATTTTCTACCAAATAAGCTTGTGCCTTGGGTGTTCTCTGCATTTTTACTTGACCCTCTCTTTCCACCAGCACTCATGCAGGAAATGTCTTTCCAGGTGTGGAGAGGATCTCAGCCAGGACCAGCAGCAGATCCTGGAGGGCTTCACCACACTGGACAATACAGGATGTGGAATACCCTCACGGATCCTGGTGCATGGGGAGCTGGCCTTTCCCCTTGCAATAGATAATTCATCCAGCTGCTTTCTTGCAGCTGCTCGCTATGGCTGTGGCCGTGTGGTGTTGACAGGCCATGAGAGTTTGATCCATACCCCAAAGATGGGCCCATTTATATTGAATGCTTTGCGCTGGCTGTTAGGGAAGAAGAAAGGCAAGATTGGACTCCAATCAATGTTTAAAGGTCTGGGCCCTATGTTATCAAATAGTAAACTGGAGTGGAGAGTGACACAACATCTCACCAGTGTCTTGAGTGTCTTTTGCTGTTATGAACTTAACAGCAAGAATGCGAAGCAGGTAGAGGAATTTGTGGCTGAAGGTGGAGGATTGCTGATTGGTTCACAGGCATGGTGGTGGAGCTATATGCACCCAGAGCGTAACTGCGTGCGTCAGTATCCCAGTAACGAGTGCCTTCGAAGCTTTGGTCTGACCATCTTAGATGAGACAGCCAATCAAGGCCACTTCCCGGCCCCCAAGCCAGGGGTGACAATTTACCACTTCCACAGAGCTCTATCCCAGTTTGAGACCATGTTGTATGAAAAGGGGAAGAACTTAGAAAAGAGCTGGGTGGATGATTTAATGCGAGATTGTTTCGTTATGTTTCAAATCCCACATAAAGACATCCCCATCTTTGAGTCTGTGAAGAATCGTGTTATTGAAATGATCAAACGGAAGGGCTTACCAGTTGCAAATAGGAGAAAGAGAATCAAGAAGGGAAGCCCTGAGGCTGTCCTGATATCCATGGCTGGCTCATTGGTCAAATCAGGAACTGACAGCAGTCTGGTCCTCTGTGATCCCCCCTTTTTGCCTCCCACAGAACTTCCCGTCACCATTGAGATCAACGAAGGTATGTAATGGAGAAATGACCGGGGGCTGTGTTGAGACCATGGAAATAGTGGGCTGGACCATGTCAGCTGTATTCAACTGTCCTTTCTCCTGAGAAAGGCCATCTCCATTTTTTTACCATAAACTTTTAAGAAGATGGAGTTGGGGAATTGTAAATGAGGTATGAAGGACCTGAGTCAGACAGCCTTGGTGAGTTAAAGAGTCTTCAAGAGATCCCATCACTCTGGGAGGGACTGTGGGAATCCGGACAAAGGTAGAATCATGGCGATGCAGAGTTCTCAGTCTTTCTTATGATTCTTATCAGGACACTGCAATTCCCAGGTGAGCACTGGACTCTACTTATGTGCAGGGCAGACTGCAGAGGTCACACTGCCTGAGAAGGCTCTTGCTGCCAAATTGAAGGTAAGGCTTCTGCCCCCGTCTCAGAGAGATTAATATTTCCTCAGCACTTAGCTTCTTTCCTTAAGATTTGGGATGCTCTCAGCACACCCTGTAGGGAAGAAAGCACCTCTCTCATTTTATGGACAAGCAAAGTATTCACAAAAAGGCTGGAAGTTTTCATAAATTCCAAGTGGAGTATAGAATACAAAGCACAAGACAAAGCCTGGCACATGACAGATGCACATAACAGTTTTGTCTCATCCTGCACACAGTATCAAAGCTGTGCTGAGTATTATTCTCCCTTGTAGTAGCTGAAACATCCATATGTTGTCCAAGCTGCAAACCCAGTGTAGTTAGAAGGATTCCTTCCTCAGCGCTTTATTATCTGAGACTCACTGGAAATAACAAACACACCATTAGTGGTTTTTAAGTCAATCTTTGCCTTGGGACTGGTTTTGTTCAAGTTATTTCCAAAATTTCAAAATAAGAAATAATTATAACCAAAAGGCGTTGCCCAAGAAAAAGTGCAAGAGTAGAAGCAATTTTTCACTCATTCAAGGGAGAAATGTAACTCTGGGATGCTCCTCTCTCCACCCAAAACAGAATTCTGTCTGACCTTAAATACACATGTGATGTCCCTACATCGTCACCCTCACACACAGCAACATTCACTCTGTGTCCTGAGTGACCTAATGAGCTGTGCTCTTGATGACAGATACTCATTGGCTGTCACACGGACAACTTAAGCCACCATGCGGATTATTGGCGCCCACCTGTGGTGACACACCAGTACCTCTTAGACCAAGCCCAGAAGCGCATCTCCTGGCTCTGGGGAGGCCTCCTCTACATCCTGGTACCCTCTTCCTACAAACTGGGTACGGTACCAGTCACCATCAGTGGTGCTGTGGCGGCTCCATACTTCAAGTTGGGTGAGTAGGAGGTGCAGGTTCATGATGGGATCTGGACCAGAAGCAGATCTGGAGGGAGACTGGGCAGTGACTTGAGGGAGGTCAAGAGGTGAAGGGAAGAAGGGGAAGAAACAGCAGGGTGCAAGTGGCTGGGAAACAGGAACACACTGTCTGAATAACTAAGGCGGAAAAGGATAAGGGATTATTTCATTTCATAGCAAGAAAAGTCTTGATTCACTACCAGGTATCTCTTAATAAGTGGTCTTAAAAGTGCTATAATGGGAAGCAAGGAAACGTGGTGTGGGACAGGCTGTCTACTCTTTACTCCAGGTAAGACATCCCAGGAGGAGTGGAAGAAGCTTATCGATAAGAATGAAGTTCCATGGGGAGAGCTGGCCACAGACAACATCATCCTGACAGCATCAACGCCAGACCTCCTGAAACTGGAGGACCCCGCGTCTCTGCTCCATCTCTGGGATGACATAATGCAGGCTGTGGCCCGTCTGGCTGCTAAGCCTTTCCCTTTCTGCAGACCGGAGAGGATTGTCTTTGATTGTCAGATCTCAGCTGGTGGGTGCTCTCAGGGAAAATCTGAAATTTCCATTTTCAAATAGAACAGATAGCATTGCATTGCAAAGCATAATTTTGCAGAAATTCTGGGGAAAATTGGGCCTCATGAAATGGAGGACACTGTGAACAACATTCACTTGGAACCATGTGAATAATTGTTCAAATCTTCCAAGAAATAAGATGTCACAGAACAATAAGAATGAGAGAAAATAAGGGTGGGATCTTCACTTGTGGCTTCATGGAGCACAGAAGACTTGCATGGGATCAGAATTGGTACAGAAGGAGGAGGAGGAGGACAGAGGAGAAGTCCTCTGTGTCTTTGAGCAGAGTCAGGAGGTCTTGTTAGTGCTTAAGAAATCTGGAGAAAATGTAGGTAGCAGAGAAAAATAAAGAAGAAGCCTGGTATCTTGCTTCAGGCTTTTAAACACGATCAGTAATATGTATGGAGCCTAAATGGGAGAAGGAAGAATTCTACTAATTTCTCTCAGAGTCTCCGGTGCAGAACACTGAGGCATATAGACATTACCCATCTAAAAATGAGGAGAAATGAATGAGGATGCCCACAGTCCCATTCCATGTACACCAGTTCTTCAGGACTAAGTGGGAACAAAAATTTCTAAGAAAATAGGGAGACCAAGTAATCAGCAAAAGAGCTTGTGCAGAGAGTAAAGCCAGATGATTCTGATCACTGTAGGATTGCTCACTGCAACCCAGTCTTCTGGGATGGCGAGGAAGGTATCAGCTACTAAAAGTAAAGTGTGTCATCTCTTCTGTCTTGCCACTTTCCTGCAGGTATCTTGCATTCTGGATACCCTATCATGTCCATAATGGAAGAAGCACCAAACATCCTTAATGAAAAAAAATTAAGGTCCCGTGGTACATGGGGTGCCTTGCATGAGTTAGGCCACAACCAACAAGCGGGTGGATGGAATTTCCCTCACCACACCACTGAAGCCACCTGTAATCTCTGGTCTGTCTATGTGAATGAGATGGTTCTAGGTATCCACAGGTCTCATACCCATTCTGCTCTCTCTCCTGACGGGCGCAAGCAGAGGATAAAGCACTACCTGGACCAGGGAGCACCCCTGAAAAGCTGGGAAGGATGGACAGCTCTGGAAACGTACCTTCAGGTACTAAGAAAATACAGAAAATAGGGGAACCACCAGATCCCACAGTTGTGTTGCTTCCTGTTGACCCCAAAGGCCTTACAGCTCCTTCACATGCCCTCCAGCTGAGGAAGTGGGTGTGGCATGTGAGAGATGGGGTAGCATGGTGTAGATCTTGATGGCTCAGGTGTTACTCACCCGAAATGGATGATGGCTGGATACTGAAGTGTTTTTCCCTTTCCGCTCTACAGAACAATCCACTGGAAATCAATGAAAGCCTATAGGATATTATGAAAATATAGCTTAATAACATTACACTAGTCAGATAATCTTACTATAATACTCAGCTTTACCGGTTACAATAGTTATAAGCTTTGTATCTTCCAGAATGATGACATGATTTAACTCAACATATTTTTAGGAAATATAATAAAAATAGTGACTTTGCTGTAAGTTATTTAAACTGGAATTTTCCTACTCAGACCTCAAAAGTAGGGAAGTACTGATTTATTATTAAATAATTACTGCTATGTTTAATATGTTTTTAAACTTCTGCTTCCATTTTCTTGCTTGCTATGGGAAATGTATTGAGGAATGTCATCCCCAAAGCCCATATTTCAGGCGTAGAATGCTGACATTAGCTGTCTCCTGTTGACCGTATAACTTATGAGACAGGGCAGATCTGAATTTGTAATTAATCAGAAAGGAGAGCCCTAGAACCCAGTTTCTGTGTAAGACTCCCATATTTTAGATACTATAGCATACTGTGTTTGGATTTTCACTCTATCTTCGTAAATCCAGAGTCTGAGGTTTCTTTTGTTTTCTTTTTTTATTTTTATTTTTTGTTTGTTTGTTTTTGTCTTTTTCAGACAGGGTTAGGCTGTGCAGTTCAGGCTGGCCTTGAGTTCACTTTGTAGCCCAAGCTAGTCTCAAACTTGCATCAATCCTCTTGCCTCAGCCTCCCAAGTGCTGGGATTACAGGCATGCACCACCACGCCTGGCTCCTGAGATTCCTTTTGAACTAGACTCTGTTCTTTATGGATAAGTAATCTGTCTGAACATGTTCAGGGGAAGGTCAGAATTTCAGCTAGAAAGTTGACACCCAACTTCAATGCAAAGCTCCTGGAAATAGATCAACTTCGATGCTATTGGCAAAGTCCTCTACCGCTCTGGGGAGCTCAGGTAGAACTTCCCAACAGGTAGAACCTCCTGAGCGCCTCACCTTTCACTGTCAATGTCATGGTCAAAACCTAACTTCTAGCATCAATCACCTGTACTAGTCCAGTAGCTGCCTCACAGCCTCTGTGCTTCTAGCTCTAACCTGAGCTGGCCTATCTTCCAGAATGCTGCCAAATAGACAGTCAGTTTACCCTATAACCCTTCAAAAACTGCCTGTTGCCTTCAGGTAGAATTCCAACCCTTTTGTTACCAAGCTGTGCCTTATTGTTCTGACTCCAACAACAACCTCCCACCTGCTACTCAATCTACTACAAATCCACACTGATGATACTTCCCAGAACTCTTCCCTGTGTGCATGTTTCTTTGCATTTAGCAGTATACTTTTCCTTCTTGAAAGAGTTTTGCATTCTTTCCATACCTGTTCATGCTTTAACATGCCTCTTCTAGGAAGTCTCCATGAATATTTTCCCTTGAGATTTCATTAATATACTTCCTCATGTTATTTTTGGTCCTAACATGTCTTTGCGACCCACAATTTAGTTATTTGTTTAACAATTTGTCTCCATTTCCATCCGTGACTTGGACTTAGAACACTGTCAAGGTGTACCATAGACTTTCAATAATGGCTCATTACAATGAGAACTGGAAACTTCCAAATGGCCCAGGCTGTGAATGCATCAGAGCAATCAAGAAAGAATGATTCTGGCAATGGCTGAAATGTTCTATTTTGTCCTGTTTTCAAGCCTGTTATTCCCACAGGTCCTAGAGTCTTAAATGATAGGCCGGGAACCTGGTTCTTCTACCATCCCAGCTACTCATTCACAACTTTTAGCTACACAAGATGAGAATATATGTTCACATCAGGCAGATTCACATCTTTATCACTAAGCTTAGGTGTGAAGGAAATGACAATATTGAAAGTAGCCACCATTGTCTGGGAACCTGCTATGAAGCCAGTGTTGAGAAAACATAGATACCATGGCTGAGATTGGTCAGTAGCAGAATAAAACATGGGCTCCTCCACAGGAATAAGCTCTGAGAGGAGAGAGAAAGACGGAGCTACTGCTGAGCATGAAATTGTGCCGCTTTCTTCAATGCTATCAGAGCACTGTGTAACAGAAAGTGCTCTGTGTTAAAAAATAGAGTGTCACCAAGAGCCACCTTGTAGTTTCGTGTGTGTTAGAGTTGAAAGTGACTTTTGCAGGCTACATAATTATTCTGACCCAGTTTTTCTTTCCATTCTAGCTCCAGGAGGGCTTTGGCTGGGAGCCATTCATTCAGCTTTTTGCTGAGTACCAGAAACTCTCTGGCATCCCAAGAAACAATGGTGGCAAGATGAATCTGTGGGTGAAGAAGTTCTCTGAAACCGTGAAGAAGAATTTGGCTCCTTTCTTTAAGGCCTGGGGTTGGCCTGTGACGAAAGAAGTGTCTGATAGCCTGGCCTGCCTGCCAGAATGGGAGGAAAATCCAATGAAAAAGTACAAATCTGATCCTGTGAAATTATGTGCATCTGACCCCACACAGTTATATGTATGTGATGAGGAAATGTGTAAAATTATAGAAGAACGCTTTCTGGAAAAAGATCAGTCATTGGATTCAACAGAGTAATCTGCACTTAAATTTCAACTTTAGTTTTTTTTTTTTTCTCAATCTTATTCCAAATTTTTTCAGTTCTTCTGCAAGGCAAATATTAAAGCATTAATATCAAAATTAGTAATGCGTATAACTTGATCAATTTCTGAAAGATCAAGTCTTTAAACCTTACTGATTCATTTCTTGATTTATTTGTTTAGTGTTTGCATTTTTGTTAATGGGTAACAGGAATTGCACAAATCCAGAGAATTTATTCCGGAAATATATTTTTTGAACCATTTATGCCATATTTCTCCAAACCCTGAAATTATTTCATATATCTCATAAAGATTCTTTTGCTCAGTTGTTTTAAGAGACTAGGAAGTCATTTAATAAATAGTTCTTGAAAATCAGCACTTATCTCTCAGCATGCTGGTGCCTAGTGCATTAGGCTCAGTTATCACACACTCCATCAATGACAAGGTTTCTCTAGACACCTTCTAATAAGTCTGCTCCTGCAGGGAGCCAACACTTTCTGTTGCTTGTCAGCCAAGATCTCTCAGTGAAACACTCAGATACACTCACAATGGAGCATCAGCAAACATGACTGTCTCCTTCTTCAGAGATTCGTCCCAATTCTTGACATCTGTGGCAACTGAAATAATACCTGAAGTTTCTCCTTTGTTCTAGATCCTGTTGGCCATAAAGGTCTAAATCTTGACCAACTCAAGTTGATTTTAGAAATGGATCGAAGAAAGGGTAAAGGATGGGTAGGAGAACGTTCTCATCCAGTCTACATCTCTGGAAAATAGAATGCTTTCACCCTTCATCTAGCACATGCCAATTTCTTTAATGCTAACCTATGCATTGCATATAGAAAGTGCTCTGTATGTATGTATTAAATAAACAAACCCAGAACAAAAAAGGTAAAAATAGTTCAGAACAGTGGAAAGAGATCTGAATTTATAACCAGGAAATAAAACATCTTATTCCTTTCTCTATGACTTTGAGATAATCTCTGTGTGTTATTTTTTTATTTGTCAGTTGAAGAGACTGATTGGTTTCTTGCCCCGCTGTAATTCCTGCTGAGTTGTTATGGTGCCCAAACCAGTATGGCGCTGCCGGTCATGTGGTATGGTGCTGAGTCACCATGGCATCCAGCTAATATGGTGCAGGCCACTAAAGGCCATGTGCTAAGCCCCACCCTTCTTCCACTGAGTCAAATTACAACTTCCTACTTCCCTTTTTGTAATATCCTGTTCCCTTTCCCCGTGCTCCCACCCAATCCTGGTTTGCCATGTCAGGCAGTGCGCCTCCTAAACCCCGCCTCCAGCCTGGGGCTATTTAACCTTGGACCCCAGGAAAGATCGGTGGAGGCCACGTTTTTCTCTTTCCTGTGGCCTCTCCACATCCACAATAAAGACATTTTATTCTGTTTTACTTCTCTCTGCACTGGAAAAACCTATCATAGACAAAATAGCTCTAAGCAACTTTCAGTTCAGAAATGATTTGATTAAAGAAGTTTGAATACTTGATTTCAGAACTCGGCTGTACTGTTTCAAAATAAGCATTCTTTGGAGAGAACAATGGGGCTGTGATGTATCTAATGTCTTTTGGCAGCATGCAGCAGAATAAATGTACATTTTACTCACTAATAAAGTGATAATTTTCATTGTGTTCGTGTTGGTACCCCCAGGCAGCAGTCTATGCTGCAGTGTCTATTGTGAAAGTTATCTTGGAGAGGTCTTTAACTCTTCAGGAAGATACGTAGAAGAAAAATACTTGGGTCAAATGGGACTTCTATTTTTAATGGTTTTAGAAACCTTAATATTTATTTCCACAGTAGTTATACCAGTTTACGCTCCCAATGAAAAGGGGTTCTTTATTCCTGTAACCTCACCAGCACTTATTATTGGTTGATTTCTTGATGATAACCATTCTTTCTAGAGTGAGATGAAGTCTGAGTGGTGTTTTATTTGTGTTTTGCAGCCAGCAATATTGCATATTCTTTCATATAACTTTTGGCCATTTATCTTTTCATCTGAAAAGTGTCCATTCATTTCAGATGCCCAATTTTTTTTTTTGTTTTGTTTTTCTCCGGTACCAGGAACCGAACTCACGACCTTGCGCTTGCCAGCCAGGCGCTTTTGCCGCTGAGCTAAATCCCCAGCCCCTGGATGCCCAATTTTTGATTGGGTCTTTAAAATTGGGGTAGTTAAATTTTTTTCATTCTTTCTATAGTCTAAATATCAGTCCTTTGTGGTGTAGCTAGGAAAACACTTTTCCCATTCTGTTGGTGGTTTCCTTTACCATTCCGAAGCTTTTCAATGTGAGATGATCCCACTTGTTGGTTCTCGGTATTATTTCTTGTGTGATTGGGATTCTGTTCAGAGAGTCTTTGCCAACACCTGTGTATTTGAGAGCTTTACCTATTTTGTCTTCCAGCAGATTAAGTGTTTCTGTTTTAGTATTTAGATCTTAGATCTGTTTGGTTTTAGGCTAGGACATAGTGAGAGGGATGGATCTACATTTAATCTTCAGCATATGGATAGCCCGTTTCCCCAGCACCATTTACAAAGAGGCTATTTTTTCTCAGTGAAAGGATTTGGCACTTTTATCAGAGACAAAGTAGCTGAGTGTGCCTGGAGTTGTTTCTATATTCTCTGTTCTGTTCCATTGATCCACAAAGGTTCTTTTTGTTTGTTTGTTCGCTTTTGGTCTTTTGGTGTTTTTGTTCTGTTCTGTTTTGTTTTATGTGTGGGTTGACCAATACGACGCTTTTTTTCCCTTATTACTACAGCTTTATAGTGCAACTTTATGTCCAGGATTTTGCTGCATCTTGCCTGGCTTGCTCTTGTTGCCCTGAATTGGTTTTGCTATTCTAAGTCTCTTCAGGTTCCATATGAATTTTAGGATTGTTTTCTTTAGTTTTGTAAAAAAAAAAAATGCCGTTGGTGTTTTGATTGGAATTGCATTAAATCTGCATAACGTGTTTGGAAAAATGGCCATTTTGAGTATATTTGTTCTGCCTATTCAGGAACAGTGGACAACTTTTCATTTTCTGATGTCCTCTTCAATATCCTTTCTCAGAGTACTGTAGTCACTCTTCTTTGGCTGTGCAGTGCATTTCTTTGTCAGAAGCAATGTATAAAAACTCATGACAGTGAATGAGGCATTCTCTATGTCCACAGATTGTAGTTTTGGCAGAAGCATTATGTTCAGGGAAGACAAATCCATACTCAGAATAATTTTTTATTCCAGTAAAGAAAAAGCACTACCATGATCAACATGATGCAACGTAATCAGACTGATCAGCACATGGACTGGTGTACCACCGCTGGAAATACAGTATGGATCTCTGTTGCTAGCCAGTTGGTCACCCAGCAGTAAATGCAGCCAGGTCAGCTCTGGCAAGTGCAAGTACATGTTGCTAAGTGCAGGCACAACCTGCATCCTTGCACCATGGCCATTTTATCCATGAGTTCATTGGGCAATGACAGGGTGGCTGAAGAATGAGGTTAACTGCTCTCCACAGAACAGACCAACCAAAGAAGACAAAAGCAATGTTGAAGATGCAAGAAAAAGTAACTCTTCTACACTGTTGGTGGAAAAGTAAATTAGTATACAGAAAACTAAAACTTGAGCTACCATTTGGCTCAGCTATATCATTCCTTGGTACATTCCTAAAAGATTTAAACTCAGCATACTATAGAGATATCTGCAGTATCATGTTTATTTTAGTGCAGTTTAAAATAGATGAGCTGTCAAAAAGCCTAGGTCCTCAACAACCGATGAATAAAGAAAATTAAATATATATACATATTATGTATTATATGTGTACATATACATATATAATTATATCTATAATTATATATAATGAAATATCATTTGGAATAATACCATAAAGAATAATACCATAAAGAAGAACAAAATTAGTTCATTTATAGGAAAATGATTGGAACTGGAGACCATGATTAAGCAAAAGAAGGCAGACACAGGAAGCCAAGTATCACATACTTTCTCTCAGGTGAGTAGTCCAGAAAGAAAAAAGAACTTGTAGAAGAGAGATCACATGAAAGTGAAAAGAGAATGTTAGAGAAGAGAAGGAGACTGGAGGAAGGCACAAGAGAGGAGAAAGAGGATACTGAAAGAAAATGTGTATAGATAAATGTGCTAAAATAAAATCTGTTTTTCTGTCTAGTAAATATGCACTAGTAAAACAAGAAGAACCAAATAAAGTACTGATGAAAGAAATTCGAAAGGCACATGCAAGAAAAGGAAATACATCTCATGTTCATGGAGTAGAGGAATTAATTTTTTAAATGCCCATACTACCCAAAGTGATCTACAAATTGATGTAATGTCTATTGAAAATGTGAAATGACATTCTCCCCAGCAATGGAAAAATATTCATAAAATTCAAACGAAATCAAAACAGACATCAAATAGATAAAGTAATCCTAAACAAAACACTAAACCAAACTAACCAAAAGAAAAGCAGGCAGTAGTATAATACCTTATTTCAAAACTTCCTACAAAACTTTAGCAAACAAAATAGCATAGTACTGGTATAAAAAACACGCTAAGACCAACGACATAGAGTAGAAAACCCAGAAATAAATCCATGTATTTATAACCAGCTGATGAATGGTAAAGGTAATCAATCACATATATTGGATGAGGGCAAGTCTCTTCAATAAATAGTGCCAGAAAAGCAAGATATCTATTTGCAGAAGAAATTTAAAAATTACCATCTATCCCTACTTATAAAAGGGAACTCAAAATAGGTCAAAACTTTAAGTATAAGACAGAAACCATAAAGCTACTCTAAGCAAACATACGGGAAATATTTCATAATATTGATCTTCACAAAGGCTTTTTAAACTTGACTTTAAAATCACAAACAAAAAATCACAACTTGACTAATAGGATTGTATCAAACAAAAACATCGGAATAAAAGAAACAAAATGAGTGAAGAGACAAACCGAAGGTGAGGGAAGATAGTTCCAAACTAGTCATAAACAAGGGATTACTA